TAATTTGGGTCAACAGTGCAAGGAGAAGTCTTGAGCAGATGAAACCCTAACTGGATCTTGGGCTTCAAAGGTTTTGTGATGAGAAATCATTGAGAAATGGGAGGGAAAATTTTGGGGTACAACAGAGACCCTTTGTGAAATGTCTTGATAAAAGAGAGGGAAAATTTTGGGGTACAACAGGTTGGTTTGAAACAAGTGGGGTAGAAGCTTTTGCTTCTCTGAGATGTTTCAGGTATGGGAGTTGGTGCAATACACTGCTGAGTTACAAAGAACGCAAGTATTGTTTGAGCTATGTTGTTTCTGGAAATTGAAGAGAGTATGAATTCGTGATTTTGTCTGCAGGTCAAGTTGGGATGTCTTCGGAAAGAACGATCAGGTATTTTTGATGTTTTCTTCTCGGAGAATAGAGAGCAATATGACAGCTAGTGATATGCTAGTGTTGTGTGATTCTTGATCTTTTTCCTAAAGATATTAGCGACTTGCCTCCAGAGTGTGGATCTGAGTTCAGTGACAGTAGAGAACTGGTGTTTGTATATGCTAAGCAAGTAGGATAACCCTTGGGATATGAGGCTTAGAGGTTTGCATGTTTATGACAATAATTGAATGAGGTCATGTGTGGATTACCGACCATTGAGTAAGGTAATGATTGAGATTAAATATCCACTTCAAAAGGATTGACGGTTTGATGGAGCAACTCTTAGGCGAGTATGTCTACAGTATAATCTAATTAAGAAGGGTTACCTTCAGATTTGGATGAAGGGTGAGGATAGTTAGAGGACAAATTTTAGAACTTGTGTAGGCATTACAAATATTTGGGTTAGTTTGTTGCGGTGTTTATTGAGGACATTATGAGTTAATCTAAGTAAGAATAAGGGAATGTCGAACGTTGTGATTTGGATTACAATGTTGAAAAGGAAGAGACTTTATGCTAAGTTGTCAAGGTGTAGATCATGGTTTGAGGAGAGTCATGGTGCTTTCGGTAATTTTGAGCATAAGTTCTAAAGAAACACTATTCCAATTTAGTAACGATGGTTTATGCGCCATTATGATTGTCGGCTACCTATTGACAAATTGAGGAACTAATCACCATTAATCTCTTGTTGATATTAGATGGGATCATGTTGGACGGGATAGACTTGTCTTATTAGCTTGATGGTGTGTAAAGTGATTGATGTTCCATCGAAAGGATAGTCGTTCATCATTTCAAGTATGAGATGTTGCATGTGAAGAAAGTTTTGTAGAACTAAAGAAAAGATTGGCGACTGCTCCGATATTGGTTTTTCCTAATCCGAGTGAGTCATTTGTAGTGTATTATGAATGTGTCTAAGATAGAACTTAGTGGTGTGCTAATTATGAATGGACAAGTTGTTGCTTGTACTTCTAGACAACTCATAGTTCACGAGAGGAATTATCCTACGCGTGACTTAGAGTTAGCAGCGGTGGTGTTTATGTTGAAGATTTGGAGACATTATCTTTTTGGTTCTAAGTTTGAGGTGTTGAGTGATCATAAGAGTTTGAAGTATTTGTTTGACCAGAAGGAATTAAACATGAGACAGAGAAGGTGGCTTGAATTACTGAAGAATTATGACTTCGATTTGAGTTACCATCATGATAAAGCAAATGTAGTCGTCGATGCATTGAGTAGGAAGTCGCTATATATGTTGATGCTTATGGTTCGAGAATTGGAGATGATCGAACAATTCTGAGATATGAGCTTGGTGTGTGTAGAAACTCTTGATAGTGTGAAGTTTGGTATGTTAAAGCAGACTAGTGGTATAATAGAGGAAATCCGAGAAGGTCAGAAGGTTGATTTGAAATTGGTTGATCAATTGACTTTAATTGATCAAGGTAAAGGAGATAAGTTCAAAATTGATGAGAATGATGCGATGAGGTTTGGCGATAGAGTGTATGTTACAGATGTTCCAGAAATTAAGAAGAGTATTCTAGAAGAAGGACATAGAAGTGGATTGAGTATTCATCCAGGTGCTACGAAAATGTATCAAGACTTGAAGAAGTTATTTTGGTGGTCGAGTATGAAAAAGGAAATTGTTAATTTTGTTTATGCTTGTTTGACTTGTCAGAAGTCGAAATATGAGCATCACAAGCCGATGGGTATTATGCAACCGTTGAGTATTCCCGAGTGGAAATGGGACATTATTTCCATAAACTTTGCGACGGGATTGTCAAAGACTGTTAGAGGCAATGATTCGATTTGGGAAATAGTTGATAGGTTGACTAAGTCAGTGCATTTTCTGCCGATGAAGATCGAGCATCCGATGGAGAAGCTAGTTGAGATGTATATTGAAGACATTGTGAGATTGCATGGAATACCTTCGAGTATTGTGTCAAATAGAGATCCAAGGTTTACTTCGAAATTTTAGACGGATTGCAGAATATTTTTGGTACTAAGTTGAGGTTGAGTTCTACATATCATCCGCAGACGAACGGTCAGACGGAGAGGACTATCCAATCTTTAGAAGATTTATTGAGGGCTTATGTGTTGGAACAAGGAGGTGCTTGGGACAACCACTTGTCGTTGATTGAGTTTACCTATAATAATAGTTTCCATTCTAGTATTGGAATGACACTGTATGAAGCCTTGTATGATAGGAGGTATAAAACTCCATTGTGTTGGTATGAGTCAGGCGAGAGCGTTGTGCTCGGACCTGAGGTTGTGCAAGAAACAACTAAGAAGATAAATATGATCCAAGAGAAGATGAATGCTTCTTAAATTCATCAGAATAGTTACCATGATAAGAGGAGAAAGGACATTGAGTTCAAGAAAGATGATCACGTGTTTTTTAGAGTTACTCCAGTAACCGGTGTCGGTAGAGCGTTGAAATCGAGGAAACTTACGCTGTAATTTGTTGGACCATATCAGATATCAGATAAGGTAGCTGAAGTGGCTTACCGTGATAGCAGGGGCGGTCGATGCAAGGGTCGACGCAACTTAACCCGAGGGAAGCCCAATTTTTGATAATTTTTGTAACAGCCATAACTTTTGAACCGTAACTCCGTTTGATGAGCCATTCGAAGTGTTGGATAGATAAAACCATAAACTTGAAGTAGGTAGAATAAAATAAAGATTTAGAAGGATAATTCTAGTAACTAAGTTAAATAGGAATTATTTTCCGTTGTTACACCGAAACAATGGATTATTTTCTTGCGATGTTCTTTTGCTGATGATGCTGGTATGAGGCAACGTTGGTGATTATGATGAGGATGATGCGGATGGCTTAAATTGCTATAGTGATGAAGGTTTGTGCCTTGTGGTTGTATGATTCCACGTTGTTGCATGTGCATATTGCATGCATTCATGGATGAGGGCTTATGCCCTGATGTTGGCCTAGATTGGCGTTATGTTGAGGGCTTATGCTCTGTTATTGCCCAATTGGCATTGAGTTGAAGGCTTATGTCGTGATGGTACCACATGCATGTTGATGTAGAACTATTGCATTGCATAAACACTGAATTGATGTTGTATAATGTGATGATGGTTGTTTGTGATGAATTTTATGTATGTTGTTATTTACTACTCTTTAGCATGTTTTACTTCACCGTGTATTTATCGAATGAAATTCTCACCCCTTTTGTGTTGTTGTGTCTGTACTCTTCGGGAGTACAGATAATCAGGTACCCGAGTAGTGCTTGAAGTGATGTTACTAGATCGAGTCTTAAGAGTCGCTCTGATATGTAACACGGGATTTAGGATTTTCATTATGTTTTGCATGATTTCGAATGTTACACATTTTCTTTTAAACTTATGATGGACCACGTATTGTAGATTTGAATTGTTGTTAAGGCTAGAATGCCAATGAACTATTTTTATGTTGATTTTCCGCTGCCGAATAACCATTTTTAGATACACGAAGTAATAAAGTATTTTGAGAATTTTATGGATTTTATGATTTATGTGGCATTCCATTGTGAACTCTGATGCATTTGTCGTATATTTCATTATAAATATTCATATGGGAAAATGGGGTGTTACACTACCCGCCTGAATGAACTTGCTAGACACGTGCTAGAACAATTCTTCTTCATCTCCAACACCGTCTTCCCCACCACCTCTTCCTCCTCCTCCTGAGATGAAATATCGGTGTATTTATCAAACTCCCCTTCCTCCTTGAAACTAGAATCGCTCTCAGGTCAACTTTCTTCCGATGCCGTTGTGCAGATGTTACTGTGGTTGTGGTTCAATACGCGTAGAGGACCAATACTATCTTCTCTTAATAATAAAGTGAAAAATTTCCCATCTATTTCCACCTTAAGTGAATCCTTCAGAACTTTTTAAGAAGGCATTCTGACCAATATCCTTCCTATGTCCAAATTATTTCCCTTCTTAGTGTTATCGTCTGAACAGACATAAGACCCTGTATGATTAGCAATTGACACGAAAAAATCCATGTTCCAAGCGTGACAAGGAACTCCATAGACTCTCACCACATAACTCTTTCCTTATCTACTATCTCTCTTCCCAAGCCTTGATACTTTTGATACTTTTGAACGACTGGCTCCACCAAGATTCACCATGGATAATTAAATCCTTGATGAAACCTTCCTCCAGCTCTTCCAACAAGCATAGAGAACCCCCCATAGGAGTAACTTTAACAGAGTATAATCCTTCCAATTCAAAACTGGTTTGCACATTGTAAGAAGAACCGGGCGAAATGACCTCTCCCACATAAGCCTTCTTCATCCCGCTTCTGTCATCTTCCTTGGAACTATATTTCAACACGCTATTCTCTTCGAAATGACTGATCTTCCATTTATTTTCCACCACCTCCGCGTACGAAAAATCCCTAACAAAACCCTTTCCACTATGTTCCCCTCTGTACTGACCCTTCAACACCCCAGAGTTAACCCCAAAACTACGCCCTCCTCTCCCCATCATCTTCGACCCGCCTGAAGAGACGCCGCCGTTACGCACAAACCTCGGAAGATTCGCGTGGATCTTCTTGCCATCGATAATAATGTTATCGAGCTTCACTGCCAACATTCTAGCCTCCACAACTTCTCACTGCCAACATTCTAGCCTCCACAACTTCCTTGAACCTGGCCAAACCAAATCTCTTCCCCACTTTGTTTCTTTTGGGTGGTATCACCACCTCCACCACATCACCCACACATCCGAATAGCTCATAAATATCATGGGCTCTGATTCTATCAGAGATTTCAGAAAAGAAAATGGTAGAAATGTTGCCTCCTGCAAAACCAGGCGAAACCCGACCAACCGGGAAGGTGTCCCAACGAAGAACCACCCTCGTACCGCCTTTCCTCCTCACCTCCGTCCACTCAGGACCGCCTGACATTATCCGGTAGGAGAAAGGACCACCAGTATCTTTTAGAGAGAAGGAAGAGGGTTTCTCTCTCTAAAAACTTTTTTAATCACCTTTTCTTGACTAAATTGTTTGGTGGGTGTTTGATTGATGAAGTCTAATTTATTTGAAAAAAACTACATAACATAAAATGAAATTAAATTGTGAATGGATTTCATCCTGTTGGAATATGTATAATGGAAATTAGTAGTGTAGTGGAATTTTAGTAGCATAGGACAAGAGTCAACACTATAGGAGGAGAGATGTAATACAGTAAAGTCTTCAATATTATTAACATTATATTTCACACGCTTGATATAATTGTACATTGCATCAATTTCAACCCATTCAAAATATTTTAGTTGTGTGAAAAACCAAGTTCATTTTGAACTGCATCATAGTAGTTAATAGGGCACTATCCCGCTATGAGAAGAGCCTTAACGGTGCAGAACACTATAGTAGCCACTATAGGGTAAATAGCGAGTAGCAGAGGCAAAGCATTTCCCGTCCGGAACAGTTTTTATCCCGCTATTTTTTTCCTTCTGAAAAACTGAAATTGTCCCTTAAATTTAGAACGGCTTAAGGGTAGTTTTAAGTTTTTCAATCAAATTTGTGTTGAGACTCAATCCTAACCGGCCTGCACTGACGTTTCTCCACTTCACCTGTTCCAAAGAAAAATCACGAGTTCCTCTCTCACCTCTCTCACTTCATAAGTTTATACTTATTATTAATGTAATTTATCCAAAAATATTAAATAGCAGCTAACACGCTATACGCTATCCTCCTATTTTTAGGGTTGGTCATTCCGCACAGTTATCTGGGATTAACTAACTATCTACTGCACAATTATGAGTGATGTTGAATTGAAGTTGTCAGAGTTGTGTTTGGGTATAGCACAATAACAGCAATCTTCTTACATCTTCATCCCCAACCCATCACCTTTGGCATGCTTCTCCCCTGTTGTCCAACAACAGGCATGTCCAATAAATCATATTACAACATGACAATACAATTTTATAATGTTCTTCCATAACCTCTAAAACATGTATACATGTAAAACGGTTAAATACCGTATGCCAAATTTTATAATGTTCTTCCATATTCCCTATGGACCATTAACTTACAACACAGTATGCCAAATTTAACATAAAAAGTAGCTGACGCTTAAGTATCTATGTGTCAAACACCGACGTGCATGATAACTCTTATTAGTTACGTAATCTATTCAGAACTTGATACAAATAAGTAACCTTGGATGGAGGACTTTTCTTTAGATAGTATACAAATGGTCAAAACTTTCCATAGATAACAGACTGTACCGCTTAATAAAATTCAAATTTACCTGAAGTGTGTCCCTAATAAGTTCGTACAGAATTTGGTAAGATCCACCACAGCTGATGATATCAACAAATGACAGCAGCCTCATTTTTTGTAATGCATTCTTCATGCACAAGGCCTAAGCAACATTATTTTATCAAAACATTTAGGTAGAAACATTAAGTGGAAGAGAGCTCTGCAAATATAACTAATCATTACCATTTGTGCATGAACAATATTTACCAGTTTTTCAATGACGCGGGATTTGCAGTGCGGAAGTCCAAGTATGAATCAAGCCTGAGTTAGAAAAATGTTGAGAAGCTGATATAATCATCGAGTCGGATGTTGAGATTGTTATGACACTAAAATAAATCACCATGGATAAAATCTATCAACTTCAACCACATATGGAAAACATTGTTGCCAATACAAAGGTTTGCAGGCACCATAAGAATTGGCCTTTACTCCATCATTGTTCTACCATATTTCATTGATTCATTCCACTCGATTTTTCTTCTTTCTGTTCTGATCGAAGTCATCTGTGGGATCTTCTCGAGTAGAAAATCTCTTGACAGAGCATTCATTTTCATCATCACAACATGCAACGACATTCAAATCTGGTAAATGACATAGATCCATAATTTTACCAATTGGTTTATCGTATATAAGATAAACCGCTATCTTCTTCACAACCAAACTGTTCTCAAAAACAAAAACAATCTCCACTTTGTTACCAGGTTCTAAACTTGATACTACTCTCCGCCTCTCTTCATCTTCCAAGGAGACTAATGCCTCTCTCTTATAGAGCTGAATGGTGGCCTTTGTGTAATTTTTTACTAGCAAATTTTTAAGGCCATCTGTTGTTATGTTATCTAGAGTCGTAGTATAGACAATACACATCATTGTCTTCAAGTTACGCCCTTCTACTTGAGGGACTTTAAAAGTTACCGAAGAACCTTCAGAATGAAAGGTTAACCAATCTGGATAGCTATCACCCGGGAACAAACAACCACCACTCCCATTGACATCCATATTCATATTCTGTAAAAGAAAATATAGGATCAAAACTTAATTGACAAGTATAATAATAGCACCTACCTTGTCATTTATTCAACAATTAAAGATATAGTTTTCCTCATAAGGTAATTAATCATATTTTAGTTGTTAATTTGTTTGAAGTTACACATATATTTCCTTGGATTCATAAGAGAGACTATCAGTTCCATTTGAAAGCTCCATTCCAACCAAAATAATAGCGAGGGAAGATAATGAGAATAACAAATTGTACCACTCTCGGAAATGCGCTAGTATTTCAGTTATAAATATTATTTCTGCTCTTAAACAGTGGGACTTACTGTGCATCTGTTGAGGTTTAATAGAAAAACTTGATTATAAATAGAAGTATTTCAATTATAGATTAGTGATTTAGTATAACTTATGTCAAAGTATGCAAAATAAGAGAGTATATCATGAAAAAAGGTGTAACGACTATTATTCTTAAACATAACATGACCATATATTTATATGTGGGGGCAATCCTCAGCTGCTGAGCCAGTTTTCTAAGATGTTACCAGAGCTAGGTTCAACATCTGTTTGGGCCATCTGATATCAAACTCAATAGTGCTCGGCGTGAGGGGTGTTAAGAGTCCCAAATTTAACAACATATGGTCTGGACATAGCCGGTTAAAACTAAGTTAAAAGTAACCAAATTGAACAACACATGGCCTGAACAACATATAGTTAGGTTAAGGATTTCATTATTCCATGGATGCTAAGCCTGTAAAAAAAATTGATGACTTGGCAACCCATTATTTCATGGATGTCAGCCGGTGAAAAATTCATCTTTGAGAATATTGGTGACTTGGCAATCCATTCCCATTTGAATTAAAAGAGAATTCATGGATGTTATCCGGTGAAAATGTTCTCTCTGAGAATGTTTTGATACAAAAACTGTTGGAACATTCAAAAACAACAAAAACCTGCACTTGACTGCGGCGTGGATTAAGGTAGTAGTCATATGTAATACTTGTGATGTAGTTGCAGTTGATTAGCTGGTTACATCTAATTTAAAAGTAGTCATGTTAAAGATTTCATTATTTCATGAATGTTAAACCTAAAGAAAATAATTGTATACACTTAGATGTATTGTGTAGACTCGCAGTAAAAGAATTCCAATGTATGGGGTGATACAAACACAGATAGACATAAAAGAGGGGGTAGTATACCAAACCTGTAAAATTTTCTCTTTGAGAATATTGGTGACTTGGCAATCCATTCCCATTTGAATGAAAAGAGAATTCATGAAATGTTTTGATCCCAAAACCTGCATTTGACTGCGGCGTTGAATTAATGTAGAAGTAGTCATGTCTAATACTTGAGATGTAGTTGCAGTTGATTCAAATTCCTTAGAAACTGTGGCATATAAAGCATCCAAAATTATTTTTGCATCTAGAGAAAGTTGATATTCTGAGTTGCTGTCCACCCAAAGACTTCGGAGTTTTGGAAGGTGGTTAGAAAAAGATGATAGTTCGTGAGAACTACTACTTGGTACACCTAAAGCAACAAGAGATGACAAGGGAGAAACTGTTTGAAGTGGGAATTTGACATTATTTGTTGGTGACATCCAAGACCAAATGATAGATGGAAACACATCACAAGACAATCCTTCATAGCCGCACAGAGAAATATATCCAATGCTTTTGGACCGTACCACTGAAAAGGGCACTTTTGTTATTGCAGTGTTATTTGCAAGCAGGGTGGTTAAAGATTTCATCTGTTCCAAATCCTCTTCCAACTTGTCAATCTTTATACAACCAGAAAGAATGAGAGTTTTCAAAGATTTCAACTTATAGATGCTTCTTGGGAGGCTACAAAGGCTAATGCAGTCTTCCAAATTTATCAGAAGAATTTTACTCAGATGTTCAATGCTAGGAGAAATCTCAGACAACCTTGAACAGTCTTCGAGTACTAGCTTTTCAAGATTAGGCATGTATGAAAATTCAGGGGTGTGTGTCAGACAATGTGAATGACTAAGATTGAGAACTTTCAGATATGTCATCATCTGCAAGAACATAAAAATTAAATATTAGTATAGAGAAATTTATGGAAGCAGTTAGAATATCCACCAACCATGAGAGAGGAAAGTAAAATATTTACAATAGTGTAGCATCAATTTTTCCAATACCAATCCTAGTGCAAAATTATGAAACCAGGCTAAATTTCTATATATAATGTTGCTTAAAGTATTAACACTTAAAAGCCTTGACTATTGCTAATTTCGATTCATGCTCAGTATAAAACTTCTTTAAACTATCTTCCAATTCTCAAATGCTAAATGCTTGAGAAAGTTTCATTATCACAACCACTTTACTTGAAATATGAGATTTTGATTAATATGTAAATACATAATTAGATAAGAGTGAAAAATAAGTTTGTAGAACAATATGCTATTTATAATTTTAAAATTTAGTTGAACTATTGTTTCATAGCAAAAATTAATATGCTTCCCAACTTGAATATTAGGAAAACTTTTGACACCTGCAAAATTAGAAAGACCGACAGAAACAAAGACCAAAACAACACCTAAAAGTACCATATAATAAAATTGTATTTCAAGTTGAGACCCATACAGTAAAAAACTCATGAATGCAACAACAAAAAAACAATACCTGAGCATCTTTCCACAAAATGTTGACATTGCTACTCTCTAACTCGATGGAAACTAAATTTCTTCGACAAAGATTTATAGGTATGTGCGTTAAAGGAAATTCATTCCATGACAGCCATCTTAAACTGCTTGAAAGATATTCAAAATCTCCATCAAGTTTTACTCCAGCAAGTTGAAGCAGTTTGAGTTGCGTCATCTTCTTAAATGCATTAGTACTAAAATATTTTGCATTAGCTCTTGGCAACTTCAAAGACAACCCCTTGGTAGCTTTTGTTCCCTATTAATTAAAATCAATCATAATATAACATAATAGTTCTAAGGCACATATACAAGTATTTAAACCAATCATTTATTACTAACTAGAAGCCAAGAAGCACAAACTATTCATAGGCAAACTAGTATTCAAATCACAAGTAAATCAATGGATGTTAACAAATGGCTCAAATTTTTTTGGTTTCCTTTCTCAAGCTTTAGATATTTTAAATCAATACTTGAAAAATGAGTATATGACGTTCTTACAGATTGATCTGATAATACATCAAGCACGTCATCATGAAACCACAACCTACAACGCGCCCCAAGCTCCTCTGGTGATTTCTCACGAACGATTTCTCTTCCCATATCTCGAAGCAAATCGTGCATTCCAAGTTGGTTCTTATCATCAACAGTTACAAGGCTTCGCTCAACAAGGATACTTATTCCAATTTCTGCAAAAAGTCCACAGGCATTTAATACAAGCATAACATCATTTCGATTCATCCCAATAAAGAAACAAGCTATGTCAAGGAATATTTCTTTCTCGGTATAATCATTTAAACCATCATAGCTTATTTTGAGCTTCTTTTGTACTTGGTCGTTAGGAATTCTTTTGAGTTTCCCCAATACACTATGCCACTCGGTTATCCCCCTATCAAACAAATGCGACCCAAGGACTTCCAAAGCCAGCGGCAATCCACCAGAATACTCAACTACATTTCTAGAAATTTCAGCAAAATCTTCTGTTGGACTTGGTTGTTTGAATGCATGCCAACTAAATAGCTCAATTGATTCACTTTCCTCCATATGCTTCATTTTGTATACTTGGTTAACCCTATTTCCACGAAGTATATGTCTATCTCTTGTGGTGATGATTATTCTACTCCCTGCACCAAACCATGTATGACTTCCACACAAAGCATTGAGTTGGTCCAATGTATTAACATCATCAAGTATAATTAGCACTCTTTTATGGCGGAGTCTATCCATTAATATGATTTTTCCGTTCTCAATGCTTTGTATTTTGGTTGTCATTTCTTTAAAAATATCAAAGAGGAGTTTTTCTTGTAAGTTCACTTGGGTAGCATTTTCCTGCCAAACTTCCCGAATATTTGGAAGGAAGCTTCTCCCGTCAAAATTGTGGCCAATTTTATTGTAAATGGCTCTGGCAATGGTTGTTTTACCAACTCCTCCCATACCCCACATTCCTAGTAGGAGAACATCATTTGATTGTTTGATATCCTTTTGTAGCAGTTGAATCATATCTTGCACTCGAGATTCAACTCCCACTGGATTATTAGCAATAAATAGGTCTGCCTTGTCAAGCAAACGCGTGACATTTTTAACAATATCCTTGATAGCCTCATGTTCATTCCTACATAAACAAACCAAAAACCGTCTAGTTTTGATCAAATGGTTTAACTTGCCAAAAAATATTACTCCATTTAGAAAAGAGTGTAAGGACTTAAGTTTATTACATAACATTTCTAGACCACCCCCATATAAGGGGAAATGGATTTTGTGAGTTTGAAATTACCTTGAATTTAGGACTACGAAGCCAGCAAGGCTAGCAGCCTGGCGAAGCTCGGGATATTGAAAAAACTCAGGATATTGAGGGAAGAAGTTTATTGTATAACTCAACCCCAAGTTCAAATCTATGCCCTTGCCATTTTCGTGTAAAATCCTCTCCAAAAGAAGACGAAAGGATTTTCCAAATTCACCAGTTTGGTGACGTACTTCAGATGGATCTACACCGTAGAAGACCGGGAGAACAATTTGAGCATTGGTTCTGTGACACTCCATTATTTTGACCAGCTCTTCTAAACACCATCGGGATCCGGCGTAATTAACTGAAAAAACGATAACAGAAATTCGAGAGCCTTCAATTGCTTGAATGAGTGATGCTGAAATGTTGGCTCCCCTTTGAAGCGAATGATCGTCCTGGAAAACATGAACTCCAGCGTTTTGAAGGGAATCGTGTAGATGTGAAGTGAAGGTAGCACGAGTGTCTTCGCCTCTAAAACTTAAGAACACGTCGTGAATGAAGGTAGCACGAGTGTCTTTGCCTTTAAAACTTGAGAACAGGTCGTGAGTCCTTGCCTCAAAATTCGAGATTATTTTCTCCTGTTGAGGGGTATCATGGGAGGAGGAAGACATGGAATAGAATTAACTAATTGATGAATCACAAAATTGTTTGGAAGACTGTGTAATGAAGGGAGCAGGTAGGCACCAGATATAGTCAACGTAAGGCCACAGATGGGCTCCTTGAATTTTTATATTTTTGGTTTTTTAGTGTCTGGTTCAGATTTCACTGAACCATTGTTTCACTCGAGACAATCTTCTCCGTCAACTTAAAGTCCTTATACAGTTTGCTTGTTTATGTAGTCAACAATGGCGCTCCACTTATTATAATTCTTTTTCTTCTTGACGTTTTTTTTTTATTTCCGTCCATTTTTTTTTTTTGGTAAAATGTTATAATTATTTTGGTTCAGTTCTTAAAATTAAAATTTGCAGAAAAATCTGTATATTTCTTACAGATTTTTTTTTTGAATTTTCCCGTAGATTTTAACACTTCATTTTTATTCTTTATGAGATATAATGTATACATAAGTATAATCAGATCAATCGTCAATAAAAATAATAAAAATAATATTTATTATCTATAGGTAAATTAGTCTAATTCACAGAGTGTATAAGATCTAAGGGATAAGAATGTTTAATTCTCATGGTTCTAAGGTATAAGATCTCACTTAAACGCAACTCTTATGTCTCTAAACTACTTTGTAGCTCTTCAATTCTCATGGTTCTCAGATTCATAGAATGTTCAATTGCTACAACAATGTAATCAAATTGAGGAGTAAGATATCTCAATACTTTCTCAATGATTACTTGTTCAGAAAGAATTTCTCCAAGATTTCATCTCATTTATGATTAAAATAACTCTAGAGATGTAATCAACCTTCTCGTTGTTCTCCATGTTGACATTCTTATACTACTTACGTAGAGATTGAAGTTTCACCTTCTTCACTGATGCATCACCACCATAACATCATGTCAATATATCCCACTTAGTCTTCTCTGTAGTTGAATCAACAATTTTCTCAAACACATTCGCATTCACACACTAATGGATGTAGAACAACACTTTCGGATCTTTCTTCCTCGTATCTCTTTGTGCGTTTCTCTGTTCCTCTGTCGCATTCGCTGCAACCGGAATGTCACCTTCAATGACGTGATCAAGAACATCGTGAGCACCAAACAACACATGCATTTGAAGCATCCAACGATTCCAATTATTTCTATCGAACACCAGAAGCTTTGTATTCAAACTATTTTCGTCGTTCATTTTCGTTCTTGTGTACTAAAACTCAAACATATCTCACCAAAACACTCGTGTTTTCCGATTCTGTAAAATCAAGTAATGCAATTCAGTTACGATTCTAATCGTGAATTCAACGCAAATTCAAGAAAAACAATATCAGTTACACACACCTTACGTACACTCGTGTTTCCCTGTGAGTCAAACCATAGCTCTAGATACAAATTGTTGGAGGACAAGGTTGAAGATTAAGATGAAGATAAAAGAAGAAAGAGAAGAGAGAGAAAATGGTTCTAACAAACCTTAGGAGAGAGAAACTATATCTATTACTGCATTGATGAAAATTAGTTATAAAGTTATTTAAATACACAAACTAAGACTGTCATGTATGCAAAACTAAAATGATAAACAAAGCTAAACAACCTCGTAGGCATAACAAACTATTAGTAAACCCCAAAATCTAAACACACTTCTGAAACAGCAACCTCAGAAGTTTCTGCTTCTAAATCAGAACAATGCTTCTGAATATGAAATACTTCTAACAATAGGTTCCTTATTTGAGTCACTTTGAGAAAAGCCCAAATTTAGTTTTATGGGAACACTTGATTTGAGTCATGGTTATTACTTGATTCGAGTCACAAGAGTTTGTGATTTGAATCAGGCTTGTTTTGTGATTCGAATAAAATAATCCAGAAGCAAATCTCAATTTCGCATAGTTCATTATTCAAATCACACTTAATACATGATTCAAATCAAATCACTCAACATTTTAATTCAAGAGTTCTAACTTGTGATTCAAGACATGTTTGATTACTAATAGAAAAAACACTTGTTAAGTTAGTTAAAAATGACTTATTAAGACAATTTCTAGCCTGACCTAAGAGTTGCCAACATAAGAAGTTTTGACTTCTTAAGTCGGTTTTAGACCTGACTTAAGGTTATTAGGTATGTTAAACAGAAACTGATTTAATAAGTCTAGGCTTTTACAAGCACTAATACCATTTGTACCCGATTTAAGAATTTTTTTCTTAAATCAGATATATTTAATCAACCTAGCAAGTTGAATTTTTTTCACATTTTACTGCAGGCAATTTTAGGAGGCTCTACACAACGGCTTTACGAAGCAAATCCAACCACAATAGTCACTTGTTAAAGAAACATAATTACACATAGTTTCTCTCAGTTTTAAGGGGAAAAACAATAATAATTACGTCATTTCAAATGAGCAGGCACATCAACATTCAAGGGATCTTATCATTGGAATAATGAAAAAAAGAATCTAATCAGTTGTTTTTAACCTTGACATTGAACAAAGGGATCCACTATGCATGTAATAACGAAAACTTTGCTTTCCAACATACAATACATTCAAGTTAGTGCTCCACACTCCTCATTTTACAAGTACATACACAATCATCATCCATAAACAATTCTTTTTTATGGAGTTTTTTAGAAGGAAACACAACTCGTTTCTGGATTTATCTAAAGGAATAAACAGGTTCATTGATCAATAGTTAGATGAAAGCAAGTGTATTCCATAAGAGTTTGAAACATCAAATTCTAGAATTAAAGTTTCTGTAAAGTACGAAATACACTCAATTCGTCCTTCCTATTAGGTTTCTATACACATTATTTATCACACTAGACCCTATAGATTTCTATACACTAGACCTTATAGACTCATCTAAAGAGAAACATTTCTATTGCAACGCGTTACAAGAGAAAAATGTCAAAAGTACACAACCAAAATGTTCTGGACTAGGCTCGGGCATGGCCCAACGTCGAGCACGACCCAAAACTTGCCCATAGCGTCTGCAGTGGCCCAGATGATGGCCCAATCCTATGGGGTTTAAGCTGAAGACGTGCCATCCACATGCTCCTCACCCGAGGACACGTCATCCACGTGCTCCTCTCTCGAAGACATGTCATCAATGTGCTCTGCACTCTTCAGAGCAGTTACGCTACGCGTAACGAACGTGATCAGTCCATTATCCGTGAAATCCATAGAGCACTTGACCCGTGATGATGGACACATGTTGTCCATCCTCACTACCACGTAAGAATCCTGACAGTTATCCATTATGGGTCTGGATATTTGGCCCATATTGGAGGCTATTGGCCCAACCCTAGGGGCTCTATAAATAATTTCTTACGCAGGAGAGTCAGGTATCTTATTCACAACTCTCATACTCACTTACCTCTTACTCTTTCTGATTTTAGTATCGGGGTGCCTTGCAGGTAACTCCCATCCGAGAATCATCCAGACCGACAGACAATTGGACCGATCATACACACATCTCTTTCCGATACAGATACGATCACAAAACATCCATGAAAAAAAAATCGTATAAAAATAGAGAAGAAAACCTTGGTGTTGTTCAGGACTTGCATTGAAGAAATCAACAATCTTCCCTTGATAATACCCTCTCTGACACCCCTAGCAATTCTTGCGACCGCAAGTGCACCCGAATCGGGGTCGGTATTGGGGTTGTATTTCGTTCCCTGCAAAGAATCTATATATAACCAAATGAAGAACATTACTTAAAAGGCATATTTTTAAATTACCAACAATTGCTGCAGCCACAATATAACTGTTTTATTACTCATCCACAAACTCAAACTATAGAAATCTAACACCTAGTTAAGAAAATATAATTTATAACTCATCTAGAGTTCTTCGGAAAAGTTTCCTATAGTTGTCCTAGCAAGTTATTCGGGAAGTTTCTCTAGACATTCATGCCATGCACAAAGAAGACCTTGCATGGGCGAACTTTGATCTTGGAGGTGAAGAAACTTTTTCCCTCAAACTTATCTCAATAGGGACAAGATTTAATTTTAACTAATTAGTTAGGGCCTTTATGTATCCCTTTTGATTGTTGACTAGCATCTCAAAATGTGAATGCCACTGTTGTACAACAACCAATAGTTGATATGTTAGCTCGTGATGGTGTTCAAATGTCTGCTTAGGAGATTGTGAAGGGTCCAACGATCTCAGCAATGTCACAGTCTTCGATTGCTTCTCATGGTGAGATAGCATCTTTTTCCACATATTGGCCATAGAAAAAGCATATCGAAATTAGCAGTGAAAAAGAATGTTGAAACTAGCAGAGAAAAAACACTGCAAGACATATGTAATTAAAAATACTAATTCCTACATTGTAATTTACTCATTTACAAGCTGAACAAGTTTTGGATACAGTTGTTCATCACATAATCGGTTAATCTTTGAGACCATTGAATCCAATGATTGAATATCTACAATATATCTAGTGTGCAAATGACTGACAACTGCTTTTGTTTCTCAAATGCTTCAAAGTTAATACCTTTCTTTTTCAGTCTGCTTAGTGTGGAAACTTTTCTTTGGCGCACACACAGAGAGAGAGAGAGAGGATTTTCTTATTGACTTCAATTATACAAATAATGATACAAACTATGACTATTTATATACACCTAACTTATATATTAAGTAGGCTAAATGTTGTACCCCAAAATTTTCCCTCCCTTTTTCACAAGAAATCACAACTTCAGAGTTTTCCACTTTTTGTTGAGATTGGCTCAAGAATTGATCAAACAGACTTTTCTTTATTAGTCAATCCAAAATTAGGGTTTCCACTGATTTTTGTTGAGATTGGCCCAAGAATCGGTCAAACAGACTTTTCTTTATCAGTCAATCCAAAATTAGGGTTTCCACTGATTTTTGCTGAGATTGGTCCAAGAATCGGTCAAACAGACTTTTCTTTGTCAGTCAATCCAGAATTAGGGTTTCCATTGATTTTATTGAAATTGGCTCAAGAATTGATCAAGCAGACTTTTCTTTGACGACAAGTCTGGAATTAGG